CTGCTGGAAGCCCCTGTGCCCTGTGAGTCTGGGGACAGTGGAGCAGTTGGAGACTCTTCCCAACATAGGCTCAAGCTCCAAGAGCCAACAGGCTCTCAGCTACTTTGCTCAGCAATTAGGTCATCTGGTTAAACTCTGAGCATGAAGAATGTCTCACATTGTGACATGTAACTAGTAGCTAAAACAAAGTGAGAAATCAGGTAGATATAACCAACCTCTAAACAATTACGCGGTGAACTTTGTTTTTCTTAACTATGATCAGTTTGCACATGTCAGCCATGAGAGAGAAACCAGCACAGAAACAGGACAATCATTTCCATCATTTCACAATGGAGTCCTAATATTTGTGTATTAGGATATATTTGTGTCTATGTAAAAATAACTAACACATGTTCAGTTCCTTTAGTAGAAAAATAATTCTATGCCACAGCAATTGTGTAAGTATAAACCTATGCAGAGAACATCTAATTCACCAATATAATCAATAAAATTAATTTACCCAATACAATCAATCAGAAGAACAGCACAAAGAAGTGGCTCAACAATCCCTTTACCTGACAGAAAGCTCTTTTACCACATTCCTGAGGGGGCATAGAAGGGTAGAGGGCAAGTCCCACACCTGGAATTTAGTTACACTCCTTCAAATTACTTCACACACACACACATAAAATGTTTCAAATTGTTATTGGTGCCTACAGTGGGCAGGACTCTCTGCCCTCCAGCTAAAGGGGGTCTGAAGGCCATACCAGGACAGTGAGTGGATTCTCTTCTGTCCAAGTCCTTCTGTGCCCTGTAAGATCTGAAAGTTTCACAGCACTGGTAGGGTGGCAGAACATTTCCAGGTGTAACACAAAGTACACCTTGCAGAAAACCCAGTACTTTTCAAGGACTGAATTGTAGTAGAGCAGAGAATGTGCAAAGAGAGGAAAGCAGTGAGGCACCACCTTGCTATGCTTTGCCTCAGGAAGCAAACTGCTTTTTTGTGGTTCCTTTTGGCATCCTCTAACATCTTTTTACTTCTTTCTTCACATGCTTTCCAGGCCTCCTCCTCTTTTCTGCAAAACACAGGCAAACCAACAGTTGCAGCAGGACTAAACCTTGATTCCAACACAGCAGCCCCTCAGAGTGGGGTTGGGAATTTAACAGGTGCTGCAATGAGCACAGTAGGCTGCACCCTCCACCCCCCACGTTACAGACAAACTGCTGAGTGCACAAAAGCCACAGACAAACTGACACACTGCTGTCTACTTTCTCTCCAGCAGATCTCCATGGACTTGACCATGGAGAAGGTCCTGGAAGCTAACAGCAGTGCAGACACGACTTAGTCTGACTCAATACACTTCATTTCTTTAGACAAAAGGCACTCACAGCTTTGCCTTTAGCCCATAGATCAGAAGTCTTTACCTGCAAAGCCGTGGCCAATTCTTATTTTAATTCCAATTCCCCATAAAATATTCCCAAAGAAACACCCAGCTGAGAAACACACCACCACTAGCACAGGAATGAGCTAATCTCAGCCCCTGGAACTGAATGTCTGCAGATAACCCAGGAAAGGCAGCTGAGTGTCTTAGAGCTCTTACTTCTCTCGCGTCCGACGTTTGCCTTCTGCTTGCAGTGCTGCTATTTTTTCCTTCCAGATCCTCACTCCTGCTCTCTCTTGGTATTGCCTCTTTAGCTCCTCCTCATCCTTCTGAAGTTGCTCACGGAGGGTTTGGTATTTTCCCTGCTCAGTTTCTACCTGCCACATCTCAAGGCTTTAAAACAAAGTGTGAGCTGTTTTCAGTGACACGCTTTGACTCACCCAGGTGACACATTGCATAGGGAAAGTTCTATGGTGAAAATGAACATCTACCCATGTTTTGGGTTATTTTTTTACATCAGATGGTGAATCACACCCTGTGACTGACACAGGTGTTGGACCTTTCAGACTAAGGGTCATATCTAATAGCATATCCCATCCTGAAGACATTGGAAATATTGGTGAAGAAATAACCCCCAAGGTTCTGTTTCTCAAACTCACATTTACCCAGAATAAAATCTGAGAAATGAGAAAAATAGCTTTTTCTTCAACAGTAAATCACATCAGGGACAGGCCACAGCTTGGATTCTCCTATGCTTTGCTGAAGGAATCAGCTATGATAGGGATGACTACATTAATCTGCTCTGTCTATTGCTAATCACACAATAAACAAGTGAAGCATTTTGAAGCTATTACACAACACTGCAGCAGAACACACTGTCTCCTGGTTAACCACTTGGCTAATCACAGCCAGAAGCTCGTGCCTGTGTTCTTCCTTTGATGTAGTGGCATCAGCAGTTGTACCTCTGGTACCAAAACACAAACACACTCACCTGTTGCCTCCTGCCAAAGACAGTTTTACTCTGTCTGCTCTAATTTAGTGTGTGTGAGCAATCAGTTACCAGCAGCAATATTAGCTTAGCACACAATATACAGTAATGCTATAATGTCTTCACCCTTCTCAGTTTCCATCCTTTATGCCCTACAAAACCACTCAGAGGCATAAACTGGAAGTATTTGTGCTCAGGCAGAGATCAGTATCACAGACAGGGTTACTTTAGTCCAGCTCATTTTCCATGTAAAATGAGACCTTTTGAGGTCCACAATTTATGCACCACTCTAAATACAATCAAAACTTCATTTAGGTGTGCAAAACCAACTCAGAGCTGAGCCACAGCAACCAGTCTCCTAAGGAATGAACCATTCAGGCTAAAAGTTGCTCTCCAGATGCTTTGCCTTGCGGTCAATGCCCTCAAATAACGTGGCTCAGTATTTACAAGCAATTTCTGTAGTGCTTAACTTTTGAATCCATTACACAGAACACTATAAAAGTTTGACTGTTTCCTCACTCCCTCACTTACAGGTTTTGCTCTAGTGTCCAAGCAATCCCCAGCTCCAAGGCCTTCTCCTTGTCCAGCTCGGTGCGCAGTCGGCGACGCGTGGCCTGCAGTCGTGACACGGCTGCACTGTGAGGGTAGAGACACATCAGCCAACAAATACACTCTGCCCACCATGGCAGTATTCCTCAGCATTCCTACACACTTATTTTCCTTCTCTACCCAGGAAAACTAGTAAGACAATGTACTGACTGCAAAGTACCTGACGGTATTCAACATAAACTCCCACCCTGAGCTGAAAATTGGATCCTCAACCTGCAGTTCCTCCTCTAACCTCAGCATTTCTGTACTGGCACTGGCAGTGCTAATGGCAGCACTGATTTCGTTATTGCTACATCACAGTGCCTTTTTGATCCTTAACCAAGAATCCAGTGAGTCTTCTCACTCCACTAGTCACTTGCTAAATGTATGAGATTGGGAGAATTGCTATTTTCTGCACACCCAGACCTGCCCATGTGACCTGTCATGAGGACAAACACTCCACACAGCTCTTCCCTCTCTGCTGGGTTTGTTACCCTCTCTGTGACATTCCACTAGCACCAGCCCAGGAGGCTCATTTGCATCCAACCCATCAGTTTTGTTTAAGCAGCTATTCCATTTGGCAGCTAACCTGCCTTTCTTCCTCTCACCCATCCATGCTCTAACCTGGAGATTAGCACAGGTTATAACTGCAGCTGTGAGTTTGTGCACAATACTCTGGCTCCTGGTACACAAGCCACCCACTGCTTTCTATTTAAACCCAATGTGAAGAGTACAGTAAATTGCCTCCCACTTGATAGCACAAGTGTTTCAGAGCAGCTCCTGTATGCAGAGCTACTCCTGAAAGGCTTTCCTGCCTTCCACAACACAACACAAGACAGTCATGGTGCATCTATGTGTGTATGTCTATACAAATCCTGACTGAACATGGCAAAGCCATGACCCCCAGAACTGCCACAGCACCTTGATTCGTCACACTCAGTAGGAGACTGAGTCCCTGATAAACAGAACAGGCAGCAGTGGGCCAGGCTGATCTAACACCTATGCCTCTTCCCTCCCCATTCCCAAGTTTCCACCTCTTTCTGCAGTGATCTCATTAATTACACACAGATGAACATCGTGGATGCCTGTAATCTCTGGCATCCAGAAATACTCTCTACCTACACATTGCCAGCCTCCTCCTCCTTCTCTGTTTCACTGTCTACATGATCCAGCTGCTTTGCCAGAGCCTTGATCCGCAGTCGGCAGGCACTCAGCGTGTCTCTGCAAGAAACAAACACACCGTTAAGTGCCTTACTCCCTCTGATGAAGCTCCTCCTTTTGGGGGCAAGGCTCACAGCTAGGATTCCTATAAATTACAGTTCTATAAACTCTAATATTGCTGATACAGTATCCCAGTATCTGCTGGTGATTTGTGCCCATGGATTATGCTCAAACACCAACCTGACTTCTCGGACCACCAGTTTCTTGCCCTTGACCATGTCATCAAGCTCCTTTAGGTTCCTCTGTGAGGCTGAAATGCGAATTCTGTCTGTGGATTTCATGGTCTGGATGTTATCCATGTCACCCAAACAGTGTTCTGAGCTTTCCCTTTGAATTCAAACACAATCAACAGTGAAACACACCGAGAAACTGAACAGTTGCATGAAGTTTGTATGTCATCCTTGTTTTACTCTAGCAGATCTGACACAAACATGACCAGCAAAAATAAGATGAAAATGAGCCCCAACTGCACAACAAGTTTGTCTGAATGCACTTAATCCAGGATTTTCAGATTTGGATAGCTAATGTCAAACATTTCCAGCCTCACTGAATGCATTAATTATCTGTCTCGGTTTTGAAGTGCCGGTGGATCCTCCTGATCACACTTAGGGTTTGCAATTCCAGTGTTCCAGAGCAACAGTTTAACACTCAGACTGGAACATTTGAAAGAGTTTAAGACAGGCATAGAGCTGGTTAGTCAACACTACCCAGGAAACTCTTGTTAGAACTGGAACAAGGTACTTACGTGCTAGAATCTGAGTGGTCTCCAGCTCCTGCCAAACTGTCCTTGTCTCCCATCTTGCCAGCACCAGGCAGCTCCTCTTCCAGCTCATATCCTAACAGATATTGCAACAGCAGCTCAGTAATGAGGGTCTGAGCTCTGAAATGCAAATCTTTATACACTTGCTGTCATGTCACATTGTGGAGAATCAGAGATGACAGTTCATGGCATTACACAGTGGATATTAAAAGAATCCATATGGCAAAACACTCAGGACTACAAGTGCACACCTGGGAATAACACAGGAGACTTCAATCCATCTCTGTCACCTTCCCAGTGCTCCTCCCCATCAGGGAACTGACCAGTTCCATCTTCCTCTTCCTTCTGCCCCAGAAATGGCAGAGGAGAGACTTGCTGCTCTCCCTCACTGTCACTGACCCCATCAGCTTCCATGCTCGCAGTTCTTTCCAAACCACCAGGCTGAAAGAGAGAAGAACATGTTTCACACATGAAATCTCCAACAACTTACCTAGAGCTGAACTCAAGTGGGTACTCAGTGCATGGGAAATAACTGCAAACAACTTTGTGCCAGTCACACATGTTGACTGTCAATAAATCTCTCAGAGCAAAGCAGTTTTCCCTTCTTAATTCTATTTTAAAGTTACAATCAGCTCAGTAATAAAACAAACCTCCTGAATGTATATTTTCCACTTAGGCCACTGGTTTACCCAGAAGGATTTGGGCACATCTCCAACACCACTTGCTCTCGTGCCTTATGCAGTTCTCCAGTGTTAAATAAACTGTTCCCAAATGTTGACACAATTTATTAGGATTCAGTAAATTCTATATGTCATCCAGAGTGAGTTATTGCCACATGGCTGAGCATTTCACATCTTACCCACACAGAGACTTGTGTGTATGATTAATGGTAACCAAGGTGGCTCAGCTTGGGGTGTAAATCCTTCTGCAGGACTCAAAAACATAAACTAGAAGAGTATCTGTTTTCTTTAGTTGAGGAGCAAACACACCATGGGATTTGCAGTGGACTGGCTGAATTCAGGAACCACCTTAAAGCCAAGCAGGATTCCTACCCTGGGCTAGGATTTGAGGGTGTTGGTGGCAGTGAGCAGAAACACAAACACAGAATGAGCAGCACTGTCCCCAGGGCTTGCTCAGCTGGTGTGACTCCAGCACAGCTTAGTTTGGGGTAAAAAGGCTGAAATCCAGAGGCTTCCCACAGGGAAGGTGGTGAGACACACGGAGCTTGTGGGGCTGTCAGCTCCAGCCAGGTCTGAGCACTTTGAGCACTGGGGCACAACAGTGACTGTGCCAAGGGGACTGGGACCAGAACCAAGTCCGGGACTGGGACTGAGACCAAGACTGGGGCTGGGAGCAAGACTGAGACTAGGACCAGGACTGGGACTGGAACCAAGTCCAGGACTGGGACTAGGACCAGAGACTGGGACCAAGACTGGGGCTGGGACCAAGACTGGGACTAGGACCAGGACTGGGACTGGAACCAAGTCCAGGACTGGGACCAAGACTGGGACTGGAACCAAATCCAAGACTGGGACTAGGACCAGAGACTGGGACCAAGACCAAGATTGGGACTGGAACCAAGTCCGAGACTGGGACCAGGACCAAGACTGGAACTGCAACTGGGACTGGGTCTGGGACCGGGACCAAGACCAAGACCGGGACTGGGACTAAGACAGGGGCTGAGCCTGGAACGCAGACCAGGACTGGGACTGACACCGGGACAGAGACTAAGCCCCAGACTGGGACCGAATCCTCCCCCGCCCTTTGTCCCCTCCGTGCCCCCAGCCCGGCGGGTCTCACCCCGCGGCCCGGCCGAGCCT